CCCATGATTGATCTCTCCAAGGAGTGTATACACCCAATGTAAATGTTCAGCTCATATGCCTGTCCTTTGTTTGGCTGGAAGCCACAGGAGTGGGTTCAATTCCAGACCTGAAGGGCAGCTAGGGGCCAGAGTCTCAGAGGTTCTACCAGGCTCTATGAGACCAGCAAACGTGGTCCCTTTTTTTTTTTTTTTTTAATGATTTGAGTTTTGTTCCACATTGTTCTCCCTCTCTATCCAGGATCTCCTACATAGATCCCCCTCCAAGTGGTAGACAGTGGTAGCCAGGCACTATCTAGTTCTTCTGGTCTCATAGTCGCATAGGCTGAGGATTGCATGGTCTACCAGGTAATTGCTTTCTTAACTGAGCTGAAAGCTGCCTTTCTATTCATCCTTATTGTATCTTTCTATCAGCCTTTCAGATGTTTGAAGAAAACTCTTTCAAGTACTAGCTTTGCAAAATCGAGTCCTATGGAGTGACAGCAGACGTCAGACACTGGGGCCTCTTGTAACCCGCCTTGTGCTATTCCCTTGGAACAGGACCTGATGCACTGCACAGCATTTGCTACAGCTGATGAGTACCATCTTGGAAATCTCTCCCAAGACCTGACTGCCCGTGGATATGTTGAAGTAACAAGTTTGCCTAGAGGTACATCTTCCTGAACCTGGGGCCAAGGGTGTTAAAATGAGCTAGAAAGTAGTTTTCCTAGGATACTGTCTTAATTGTACAATTGTTTGCATTTTATTTTTCACTTGAAGAATTGTATCATAAAAGTAGCATTGAAGCCCTATATACAAATGGTACAGAAAATAAGAAATTGAAATGTATTCCCAGATAACTTGTTTCCAGACTAAAACTGGTATGACTTGCTCCAGTATTTTGCTGCTTCTCCCTTTTGCATGGATTTCTAGCCCCATCTACTACAAGCTTTAGTTATAGGATCACTATTACTTGAACTGATCAAAGACCATGTCACTCCATTTCTGTCACATAAAAAGTTACTGTAGTATTTTGGAAGAGCCGTGGAATTGGTAGAAACGTTGACTTGTTGTTGTTAGTTGCTGTCGAGTTGGCTGTGACTCACAGTGACTCTATGTGTAACGCAACAAAATGTTGCCCAGTCCTGGGCCACCCTCATGATCGTTGGTGTGTTTAAGCCGCTGTTGCAGCTAATGGGTGAGGCCACGCTATGGAGGGTTTCCCCCATTTTCACTGGCCCTCTGCCAAACAGGATGTCCTTTTGTAGTGACTGAT